AAATGGCTTAAATCATACGATGATTATTTATGATCGATATCATGACCTGCTAAAGCGATTTAAGGTATCTTAAATGTTCAGGCAGAATTTTTGGAAGGATAGAAATCCTTTTCTTACTAAAAGTCCCATTCGCTCTACTATTTTGCACCCTTTATATTTGGTATTTTACTGATTGTACTCCCAAAAATTTTTGCATTTTGAGCTCTCATTGGACGGATTATTGTCACATGAAAGAAGTAGGGCCACGCTTTGAAATAAGCCCCATTAGTCTTTTTCGGTCATTTTTGTTTGTTTAAATGTCTGCGCATCTTCCAGCTGAAGCACGATGTAGGCCCTGGAGTTGAAAGGTAGATGTCAGTTACCATCGTATTTCGCACTTATTTCATTTTTTTGGTGAAAAATTGTATATAGTGAAAAATTATTCTTTATTTTGTTCACAAAAAATCCACTGAATTCAATATGTATTACAAATTGAAAAAAATTGACAAAAGAAGAATAACAAATTGAAAAAATCTTTAACTTGTTCGCTGATTTTTTACAGCAACTGTTTAAAGATCCTTACAAAGTTTGTCAATAGAATGTACTTTTATTTTAAAATTCAATTCCATTGGAATTTTTTTTCGATATTTTCCCGTTTTGAGAATTGTTGCAATGAGATCTCTTTTTTCGTGTTTCTTTTTAACGATTTTGAAAAAGTAATTTTCTTTTAACTTTGGTGTGACCGCATTAAATTATTTCGGTATCATCTATTCCGTTTCGCCACCACATAATCCGGTACTACACTTCCATGTAACCCGTTATCAATTTCAGTTCTCAAGAAATCAAGTCAATTAAATAAATTGGTATTAATATTCGAATTCAAAAATAAAATATAAAAAACACTACAAATGTACATTAGAAAAAAGTAAGTCAAAATGGAAAAAATCATGCAAAATAAAACATTACTATTGTACATTTCAAAAGTCAAAATGAAAATGTTAACATATCACATTTTTACGCGATTTTTTTGGATATTATCCTTTTCGGATAAGAGACAATTCCGAATTTGTATGAATCATTAAAATCAGTTCAGCGGTTCTTAAGTTATAAGCGTAGTAACTAACACAACTTTCATTTATATATATAGATTATTATTATTATTATTATTATGATTATCATTATTATTATTATTATTTATTATTATTGTTATTTCCTTTTTTCCTATATTGATAGTGCTTAAATAAACTTAACTAGTCAATAAAGTTAACAACAAACAAAAGCACTGTATTATCTCTACACGTCATTATCGACAATCTATGAGTTGCACCTAGTCATTACCAGATGGCGCTTATGTATGTACAATTAAATTCATAAACCAAATTGCAAGAGTTGTATTTCACTAAATACGTTTAACACACAATTTGATTGCTACTTAGTTCTACCCACCGCCACAGGACATCGAAGCGCTAAAAAATAGTGCTATAATTTTTGTTCAACTGTACAAAAAGTGTTTGATTAAAAAAAAAGTACCAACTCCACCATTTTGCTTATTCCTTGAAAGATGTTATTATTGAGTAAAAATGATGAAATTAAGTAAAATACACGACAATTTGCGATAAAGTTTCTGCAGATCTGAAACCCTTTTGACTATTCCACTAAGAAACATCATAGATCTAGAACCAATATTTACCAAAATGATTGGTATTTAACGAAAAAGGTGTTCCCACTACGTCAAAAACCTAATTGACTCTTTTCAAAAGACATTTAAATTTTCTTTCCATGCATAGTGAACATTATATTTTCAATTCATTCTTCAAATAATATCACATTGTACTGCAAAAGTTTTATCTTGGTTTTTAACCATATTTACTCCTTACGTCATGTTACTAGGTCTTAAGCACAATATTTAGAAATTTAGATTCCCCTTTATATTCGTCAACGAAACCAGCATCAATGTCAAAGTTATAGGTGCGCCTTTAATTTTTTTGTGATTTCAGTAATTTTGGTATTTATTCAAAATTGTGGTTAATTTTACCTGCCATCAAAACCATCCAAAATGCTATCCCAAACATTAACCTCATTCCAAAGTAAATGTCTATTGGTCCTTAATTGCGAACTTTAGGGCAAAAGCAAAACTTTGACAATTTTTATTTTTTTTTTTTTTGTTCGATTAAACATTGTCCTAACCCTACCCCCATGCAAAATTTCGTGAAGAACAGATTATAATTGCGAGATGTAGGGTGAAAAACATATTATATCGTAAGTCAAACTGAAAGAAGTTAAAAAGTATATTTCGGTTTTGCCTACAGATTTGTGCCCCCAGTCACTGTTAGTTTTCTTAAATATATTTTGACTCTTCCCAGTCTAAACTCCAGCCCTATCCAAAATTCGTAGTCGATTGATCAATAATCGTGATTTTTTTCTATTTTTGGTCCATTTCAACCATAAAAATCGTATAAAATTAGGCCTCTATTCTGATCTTAGCTCTACATCCATGCAAATTTTCGTGACAATTTAATATTGATAGGAGGACCGATGGATTCCTATGTCTTGGAGCAATATTTCGAGGTGTTATATAATTTTTGGCACAATCCAACAGATGTCAGAAAACTGACCTAAAATTGAAAAAAGTACTGTTTAAGTCGGAATTGTACAGGGTTGCCCATATTCGACGGACCCATCTGGCAACGCCAGAGATGACAGAGATGTCACATCGCTTAATCATATACCGCGTTTGAAGCGTCAGTCCAAGCAGATTTTTACCATGAACCAATACACGCCACGCGAGCGCTCTGAAATAGTTGAAATTTACATTCAACAGAAGAAGTCAATTGTGAAAACTCAACGTGCTTTTAAAACATTAAAAAATGTGAGAAGTGCGCCTTCTAAGAACACCATTAAGCGTTTATACAAAAAATTTTCGACTGGTAAGGCTCTTTTTAATCCGAAGAGGCCATATAAAAGTCGACCAAGGCGATCGGCCGAGAATATCGCTGCCGTACGAGCCAGTGTTGCGAGGTCCCCAAGAACATCCCAAAAACGCCGTTCTCAGCAGTTGGGCATGGCCGGTCCACTTTACAACGGATTATTCGCATTGATTTGCATTTGTTCCCGTACAAAATTCAATTGACGCAAAGAATGTTGCCTGCGGACAAACCTCGTCGATGTGCCCAAATGTATTTTGCCGAAGGAACAAGAGAGTCTACGTTCGTTTAGTACGGAGCGTACAAAGATGTGTTCTTGTGCTAAAAAGTTGTTTGCAACTCCCCTTGGAGTCTATGTTCGCTTGGCACGGATCCTAGGGAGAAAGTCTTTACAGTCTGAAGATTTTTCCTACAACTCTACTTGGGGCCTACGTTCGCACAGCTCGGACCGTAAGCAGCTTTTCGAAGTCATTTATCTACAACTCTCTCTGGCCACTCTCTAAGTCCGACTTGCTGTTAGAGATTTCGTGGAAGCATCGGCAACCCGGGGCATTGCGACTTTATTTGCATAATGACACTTTTTTGTAATTTGTAGACTCGGGTTGACAACACTCAATCTAATTCATCTTTTGTTATACCCTACAACACTATGTGTAGGGGGTATTATAAGTTTGATTGGGCCAAATGTAATCAATCAAATCAAACACCACGAAATATTGATTTTCCACATAGGAAAGTATGTATGGATCTTCCTATCTCGCCGAGCTGAGTCGATCTAGCTATGTATGTCCGTCCGTCTGTCCGTCTGTCCATGTTAATTTGTAATCACTTTACAGGTCGCAATTATGATCTGATCTTCACGAAATTTAGAACGTAGGTGAGGTTAAGGTCAGAATAGAACCCTAGTTCTGTTGGAGATGATCGCATAATATTTAGGGGTTGAAATGGACAAAATACTGAAAAACTTCCTGATTTTGCAGTTGCCCTACAGGTCACAATTATAGACCAATCGAAGCGAAAGTTAGCACGGAGCTAGAGCTTTGGGCTGGGCAGAAGCCTTCCAATTTTGATGGTCATCGGGTAACATTTAGTGGGCGAAATAGCCCATAGCATTTGTGATAAATAAAAGTCAAATTTTCCATTAAACCGCGAATATTTTTAATGCCGGCGAAATCACAAATAGACGAACAGGTCAATTCTGACCGTTACGTAGATGCCGATAGTAAAAATATCGGATATATATAGCGAAATATATGCAATGTATATGTACAAAGGTAGGGGATGTTAGCTTATATCTCCAGAATGGCTGGAGCGATTTTGACAAATTTTGTCAATTTAAAATGCCCTCTTGGCACAAAAGTTTAAAATCTAAAAAAATCGCATAAAAAGATGCCAATAATGGTGATCATATAGATTTTGTAGTATTTTGTGACATTTTTTTTATTTTTTATCGCATGCGATTTTTTCAACTTGACTTATAATATTGAAGTGTATATTTTGTAATATTTTTTTTTTTTTAATTTACAACACAGGTTGGAGTTACTATTTATATACAGATTGCAATTATCTTCCGATCCTTACGTAATTATTCACAAAGGTAGGATTAGGCTCAGAAGGGCTAAGCCTATTGTTTTCAAAGATGTCCGCAATCTATTTAGGGGTTGAAATGGACCAGCAACTCAAAATGTTCCTGATATTAGGAAAATGTTTCTGGTGAAAATGCTAAGGGTAATAGCTGGGCAGTACTCCGTGACATAATTTCAAAAGAGAAATCTTCTGAAATGGATTTGGACAAGTGGGGGGATCCAACATATTGTAGTGTTTTAGGGTATCACATGGTCGGCCCCGCACGACTATAGACTTTGCTTACTTGTTTTTATTTATTTATCTTCTATCTGGGAGAACATTAACTTCCCATATGGATACAAACATTCGTCCCAGTTGATCTCAATTCTTGCTGCGCTCAAACAAGTACACTGAAAGCCTTACCTCAAAAAATCAAAAATGGCACATGGACCATGTACGAATCTCATATCTGAGGGTTACCTCTGTCGGCAAATCGACTGTGACTATCAACGCAATTAATAAAAAACGCAATTAAAAATTTAACAAAAGTATTTATTATTATTATTATTTTTTGCAATAAAACTGCACAGCTTTAGAGTTATATCAGAAAAACAGCTTCCCAATTTGTAGTTTTATAGGACCTCTGTAAAATAAAAAAAGGTAAATTATTAGAAAACTTTGTTTATAGAGATAAAGACAGAAATAATCGGCTTTTAAAATACTTACTGTGTCGACTTTCATTCCAGCCAATTTTGACTTTATTTTGTTTGTTAATGGTCTTCAACCAATCAACAATGGGTGTGTAATATTCCATTAGGGGTTCAGCACATAAGTTGGGCTTTTCGGTTAAAATTTTCGATATGACTTCTTTCCAGGGTTTGGTAGAGCCCAAAGTCATCATAGATCTTTTGCAGGGAATTGCAATATACGTATTAAACAAATATCAAATAATTAATTAATAATATAACCCTGACTTACTTAACAACATTGCCCACATCTTTGTTGCCATAGAAATCGCAATTGTGCAGTTGACCTGTTTGACCTGATTTTTGGCATAAAGCTTTGTAGAATTGATAACCCAGAATTTCTGAAACGAATTTCCTAAGAAAAATAAAAATAACATTGTTAAGCATTTGGCGATAATCAGGAAGAACATTTTCTGCACATACTTTGTTTGGTGATTTTCTTCCACCTCAAAATAGAAGGTGTAGGGGAAATCAATGGAACCTTCCTCGCGATCTGAGGGTGGCTCAACACCAGCATAATCTTCCATGAGTTTCCAATAGCGTTTGTTAACACTCTCCATATCGATTGTTCCGTTTAGCAATTCATTGACAATTTTGCTGTGGACATAGAATACGGGAATATTGAGTATAGTGTGAATTCCCATGCGGAATAGACGATTCATAAGGGCTTTTTCGCTGAAATCCGAATCCTTGGCCAAACCAATGGCCTGCAAATGTTTGGGTGAACTGGCCGACAGAATCACAGCTTCCCCCACTGGATATTCCAAATCATAGGCATTGAAGAAGTACGAGGGCAAATTCTTCTTCTCCTGCGCATATTGAATTCGTCCGACATAACCATGCATTTGCATGAATTTCTTGAATTCCACCTTTTGACAATATTCCATAAAAACTTTGGGCGTGTTATCGACAATTGTGGCCCGGCAGCCATTGGTGCTTTCCGATTCATCTTGTTCCTTGAGACGATTCTGGAGGAAATCTTCATCCAAATCGGAAAAACCCAAAGACTTGTAAAACTCCTGGGCAGTATTGAGCATTTGACGACTGGTGAAATCTTTCACAAACCCATCATAGTATGGCAACTCTTTAAAGGGGAAATACGTTTCAATGACACTTCCCTCCTTCCAGGCCTGCGACAAGACCTGTTCGAACAAATGATCGGGTATGGGTCCATAGGGGTCAACAACATCATCGCCATACTTCTTGTACAACTCGTTGCGTATGAAGGCATGCAGCTGTTGATAAGTGGGCTTGAGTTCCTCCATAACTCGGTCCATTTCCTTGAGGAATTTCTCAGTGTCATAATTCGAATAATACAAATCCAAGACGGGACGATCTGTGAAAGGAAGAAATGTAAAAAGTGGATAAATATGTTTTTAAATAAATTTCAAAAGTTCTCGAAATTATTTTCTGGCCAAGGATACAAGGGCCGTTCTTGCTAAGTGCCGAAGCTTTTAATTTTTGGTAAGGAATTTTTAGTTGAAACTTTTAATTGTAGTCCAGGAAGTCCAAGAATTTTTTTTATTTTTAGTTTCTGGTAATATTCAAAGTTTTTCTTTTTTTGTTTTGAATTTTTAAAAATTTCCTGACGAAAAATCTAGGTATTATTTAAAGGACTTCCTGGGAAAGACTGATGTTTATTTAAATATCTATCCTGGTGATAAAGGCGAAAAATATACTTCAAATGTTTTCTAACCGAGAATCGAAGATTTTTCTAAAAAATAATCTCAGGAACTTTCCGGTTATACAAAAAAAAAATATTGAGAATATTTTTCGAGAGACTTCCTGAAAAAATGTGGAGTTTTTAAAAAAACAATTTGCAATAACTCTTACTTCAAGGACCTCTTGACCGAAAAGGATGAATTTTCTCAAAACTTTCCCAATGGTCCATTAAACAAAAAAATCGGTTTTTTTTTCCTTTTTTAAACCCGAATATCCGAGTTTTTTGAATTGTTTTTTTAATAATCTCCTGACATGTAAAACACCAAAATTTTAAAATTTTTACTTCAAGATCTTCTTCAAATTAACAAAAAATCTTTTAATACATCCTTGAAGGAAAATCATTTTTTTTTCTAATTTGAATCTGCGATTTAAAACCAGTAAGGAAAGCTCAAAGGCGGGCGGGGCCGACTATATGATACCCTTCACCACTATGCATATTTAGTGAAGCTCTCGTAAAAAGATTTATACAGGGCATTTCAGGGCTCTATGAGATATTTGGTACAAAATCAAAATCTATCTAATTCTATCGTGCATTTTACGAACTATAGCTATCTCTGAACCGGGTTTCTCCAAATTTGACGTATTAGCTTCTAGACTGAATTCGGTCTTGTGTACGAAAATTCATGCCATTTGGGCTGATATTGGCCATTTGATGCACAATTAACACGAAATTGGATGAAGATATATATGGGAGCTATAGCTATATCTGAACCGATTTTTACTAAAATTGGTGTACTTGCTTCTAAGCTGGTTTCGGTCGGATTTGCCAAAATTGATGCTATTACGGCCATTTGGTGGTCAATCACCCGAAATCGGATGAAGATATATATGGGAGCTATATCCAAATCTGAACCGATTTCGGTAAAATTTAAAACAGCTATTCCTGTGCTCCATCTAATACCTGGTACCAAATATCACGGTTGTGGAGTGAATATTACGAATGTAAGGGACTAAACACTAAATCGGATGAGACATATATATGATTGCTATATCTATATCTGAACCGATTTTCACTAAATTTTATATACTTGCTTCTAGGCTGAATTTGGTCCGATGTACTAAAATTCAGTCCATTTGGACTTATATCGGCCATTTGGTGCACAATTATCCCAAAATCGGATGAAGATATATATGGGAGCTATATCCAAATCTGAACCGATTTCGATAAAATTACAAACAGCTATTTCTGGGCTGTATCTTTTATCTGGTACCAAATATCATTCTTGTGGAGTGCATATTACGAATGTGAGAGGCTTAAACACCAAATCGGATAAAACATATATATGGGAGCTATAGCTGTTTCTGAACCGATTTTCTCCAAATTTGTTGTATTTGCTTTAAGGCTAATCTCGGTCACATGTGCCAAAATTCGGACCATTTGGGCTGATATTGGCCATTTGGTGGACAATTAACCCGAAATCGGATGAAGATATATATGGAAGCTATATCCAAATCTGAACCGATTTTCTCCAAATTTAATATACTTGCTTCTAGGCCGAACTCGGTTGGGTGTGCCAAAATTCAGGTAATTTGGACTGATAGTGGACATTTGGTGCACATTTAACCCGAAATCGGATGAAGATATATATGGGAGCTATATCTAAATTTGATCCGATTCTCACCAATTTCAATAGGGTTCGTCCTTGGGCCAAAAAAATATTGTATGGAAAATTTCATCTCAATCGGATAATAAATGCGACCTGCATTTTGTTCACAAGAATACATGGACAGACGGACGGACGGACGGAAAGTGATTCTATGAAGGTTCTCAAAAGTAACTATGGGTCTATCTCGTTTCCTTCTCCATGTTACAAACAAATGCACAAAGACATAATACCCTTACCACTGTGTGGTGTAGGGTATAAAAAATCAAATAAATACAATTTTTTGTAAGGATATTGTTAAAAAATAATTTTTAAAAACCTTTGATTTTCGACAGGACATCATATCAAAATTAAATTTTTCCAAAAACCAATAACGGATTTTGAAGAATTTTTCAATGAATTGAAGATTGTGTTCAAATAATATTTTTGTGACTTTTTAAGTAAATGCTTTCAATAACCTGCTACCCGTAATTGCTTTAAGAACACGATTTCAACGATTTTCTTATACCCTCCACCATAATATGGATATGATATGTCATTCCGTTTGTAATACCTCGAAATATACATTTTAGACCCCATAAGTATATATAATCTTGATCAGCATAAAATTCTATATAGATTTAACATTGACCGACCGTCTGTCTGACTGTCCGTCCGTTTGTGGAAATCACTCTTCCGAAGGAATTGTTTCAAATTTCGTATTTAAAGAGCTTAATAGGTACTACTATCTGTGTCAGAAAATTGTTTTTTTTTACAGGTCTAGGTCTTTGTATAGACCCAATAAGGGAACCTCCCTTTATTCGGTATTTTACTGATTTCAGCGACATTATACTCCGGGATTGCTTCAAATTTCGTATTTAAAATTCTTAATAGGTACTACTATCTGTGACAGAAAATTGTCTATGCAAGTCCAGGTCTTCGGTATTTTACTGATTTCAGCGATAATATTCTCCGGAATTGTTTCAAATTTCCTATTTGAAATTCGTAATGGGTACTACAATCTATAACAGAAAATTGTTTATACAGGTAGAGGTCTTCGTATAGCCCATAAATATCGGTACCTCCCTATATTTGTTATCCTGATGATTATAGCTACATTATTCTCCGGAATAATTTAACATTTCGAATAAATGGGTACTACAGCCTGTGACAGAAAATTGGCTATGCAAGTCCACATTTTTGTATGTACCCCACAGTAACACCATATATTCGGTATTTTTAATATTTTAACAGAATTTTTAATAATTTTATTATCTATTTATTTATTTATTAACCTCTTTTTTTGAAAACTTCCAATTTTGTTCCAAATGGTGGAGGATATTCAAACTTATTGTTTTTCAACCAAAAAATCTTGAAATTTTAGGTTATTTTTCAATCAAAGCCATCGAGTTTTAAGAAACTTCTAAACGGCATCCTCATAAAAATCGTACTTTTTTTAAGAACATTCCTTTAATGACATCCTGACCTTCATCGCGATTTAAAAAAAAAAAATCTTATCAATTATCTCCTAATTTAAAAGCTAGATTTTTAAGAAAATTATTTTAAAGACATTCTGACCGAAAATCATAATATTTTTGAGAAAATCCGTTCAATGGTTTTCTGACGGAAGGTCTTTAATTTTTTAAGAAAATCCTCTCAATGAAAAAAATTTGTTTTATGACTTCTTAGCGGAAAATATGTTTTCTATGAGATAAATTCTATCGAAGACCTCCTGTCCTAAAATCGAAAGTCGTGGATATTTTAATAAAATTATTTTAATTGGCTTAAAATCTCGGTGTGTTTTTTTTAATTTCTGACCTAAAATCACGATTTTTGAAAAAAAAAAACTCTTTCAATGATCTCTTGAACGAAACTCGTGATTTTTTAAGAAAGATCTTAAAATGGCTTCCTAAATTAAAATCGTGGATATATTAACAATATTACAATATTACAGAGCCGATTAACGGAAATCACAAATATGTTTATGAAGTTTTATCAATGACCTTCTGACCTCTTATGTGAAAATCTACAAAGAGCACCTGACGAGAAACGTGGCTTAAAAAACATTTTAAATCTCCTAACCAAAATTTTTGAATTATAATAAAAAAATTCATTGACCTTTTGACCAAAAATCCTCAATTTTTTTATGAAAATTCTTTCCTTGACATAACATTTCTTTAATGACTCCCTTTCAAAATAAAATTTAATTTTGATAAATATTCCATCTTACCCAAAATAGTTGCCGCCTTTTGCATAGCCTCAATGATGGTGTAGAAATTTACTGAGGCCCAAACAGTGTTCTTTTCCCGGAATGCTTCCCAATAGTATTTCAATTCCTCAGCATCGGTACTGGTTTCGAAGACCTTCTGGATATCCGGATAGTAAGCAATAGGACTATCATCTTGATTTGGCATATTAATACCACCCATATATGGTTCAATATCCTTATCGGACACCAGACTCTGGAGGGCCATCAAGGCAACAGCAATCGATTCAAAATAATCATCACCCAAAACGAACAGAGAACCAACTTCTCTTAGATTCGTAAGGGCTCTTTTCAATTGTGGATCATTGATTTGATTTTGATCAAATTCTCCTGCCTCTTCGGATATTTCTACCAATTCCTTGGCAATCTCCTTAATTGTCGACAACTTATTCAAGGCCGTATTCATGTCGTCGTCATCGTCAATGGAGAATATTTCCGCCGTGATTTTGTCATAGAGATTGTAGAAACGATCGCTGGCCTTGGCGACATAGGTTTTGACCTCCAGTTCGGTGTTGGTGGCAGCCAAGCTTAGCTAAAACAGAACAAAAATACAAATAATTAAAAAATCGAATAAGAATATTTTTTGAAAGGACCCTGAAATTTGCATTTATTGTTTAAAACAATTGCGTAGTTGGAACTATTATTCAAGGTATTCCCCTCCGTCACCGGGACGAATCTATCACACTTGCATTCCCCCGTATTATTTGACTACTCACCCCACAAGCCAGAGCGATAAGAAAAGCTTGTAAAAGCTTCATTGTTCTCACTGGAATCTATTAAAAATAACTACAAAAATCGATGCTGCGCCTTTGAAATCTGTTGTTCGACTGTTCTAATTCTTATTCATATGGACAATAAAATTTTCAATTATACATCCGAATGTGATAATGCTTATCTCTGAATTTTGATTTTTCTACAGAAATTCGAAACATAAATAAATCATGTCTGAATAGGTCTTACTTTTACTTTTTTTATGGGTGGAAAGGGGGAAATGTGTAGTTTTCATTTCCTATGAATAGACAGTGGTGCGCCATGTTAAGAACCAAATAATGCTATGGGAAAGTCAGATCTATAAATACAATACGGTGTTATCTCTGTAAAAAGCTGCAAAATGGTCTGTAGCTGTAAATGGATGAAACGTGGGTTTTCCATTTATATAAAGGCTAAAACCGAGTTGAAAAAGGTATTCTAGGATCACAAAAGTCTTTTGGATCTACAAAGAGCACTCCATCTACAGAAGAGTGCAACAATTCTTCAATAAATAAGGAAGACAGTATAACATCTCCTTTTCAATGTCTTGTGTAAAAAAAATTATAAAAACCGAATGGCTGTCTAAGGTTTGTTTAAACAAGTTAAAAAGTATCAGTCGTTTTTGCGGACACATCTATACCTTCAACCAATGTTATATTATTTAAATGTATTTTGACTTCTGTTATAATTATTCAAATTATTGACCCTCTATGGTGTAGGTTCCGAAGGAATTGGCCAATATTGTGCATTTCATATCGGACTTAAATATGTGAGTATGTTATGAATATTGCGACGTGCCAGGTGTGGACTGTATTGGTTACACCCTTCACTTTATATGAGATATGTGATCATTTTTAGAAAATGTTAAAATGTGTATAGTCGACCGAAGTATTCCATTTTTATACCCTCCACCATGCATAGTATGGAGGGTATATTAAGTTCGTCATTCCGTTTGTAACTCATCAAAATAATCATTTTGAACCCAACAAAGTATTTATATTCTTGATCAGCGTAAAATTCTAAAACGATTTAGCCAAGTTCGAAGATAGGTCCACGATATCGTATAGCCCCCATATAACGGTACCCCCCGATATTCGGTATTATGGTGATTTTAACCACATTTTTCAACGGAATTGTCAATAATCCACACAAGAAGTTCGTTGTGAATACTTTATCCCTTGAAAGAGAATTATCTATATAGGTCCACGATATCGTATAGCCCCCATATAACGGTACCCCCCGATATTCGGTATTTTGATAATTTTACCCACATTTTTAAACGAAATTGTCTGCAAATCCACACATGGGGTACCTTGTACGTACTTTATACCTCGGAAGAGAATTATCTATATAGGTCCACGATATCGTATAGCCCCCATATAACGGTACCCCCGATATTCGGTATTTTGATGATTTAGGAGTTCATTGTGAGTACTTTATCCCTTGGAAGAGAATTATCTATATAGGTCTACTATATCGTTAGCCCCCCATATAATGGTACCCCCGATATTCGGTATTTTGATGATTTTAGTTACATTTTTCAACGGAACTTTCTGAAATTGTACACAAGAGGATCTTTGTGAGCAGTTTACCCCCTGACAGAAAGTTCTCTATATAGGTTAACGATATCGTATATCCCCCATATACGGTACCCCCGATATTCGGAATTTTGATGATTTTAGCCATATTTATACCCTACAACACTATGTGTTGGGGGTATTATAAGTTTGATTGGGCCAAAAATTATGTAACACCACGAAATATTGATTTCCCACATAGGAAAGTATATATGGATCTTCCTATCTCGCCGAGCTGAGTCGATCTAGCTATGTATGTCCGTCTGTCCGTCTGTCCGTCTGTCCATGTTAATTTGTAATCACTCTACAGGTCGCAATTATGGTCCGATCTTCACGAAATTTAAAATGGAGGTGGGGCTAGGGTCAAAATAGAACCCTATTTCTTTTGGTGATGATCGCATAATATTTAGGGGTTGAAATGGACCAAAAACTGAAAAAATTCCTGATTTTGCACTTGCTCTACAGGTCGCAATTATAGACCAATCGGAATCGGAATTTCGCATGTAGCTAGAGTTTAGGGCAAGAAGTCTACCCATTTTGGTGGTCATCGGATAATATTTAGCGGGTAAAATAGACCATATCTTTTTTGTTGAAAAAATTCAAAATTTTTCATTAAACCGCGAATATTTTAAATCCCGGCGAAATCGCAAAGACATGACAAGGTTACTTCTGATCGTTACATTGATGTTAACATCCAACAAAACGGATATATAGCTAAATATGTGCGATATATATGTTTATCAAAGAAGATATGCTTCAAAAATCTCTAATATGTCGAGAACGGCTGAACTGATTTCGATAGTTCTCATTAATTCAGAATGGCCTCTTGGCAGGAAACATAAAACGTCTAAAAAAATCGCATAAAAATATCTCTCTAAAGATGAAAATATTGATTTTGTAAAATGTTCTCATATTTTTTCAATTTTGTCATATTTTTGGCATATTTTCATTTTGAATTAAACATTTGGTAATATTTCTACAGCTAACAAAACTAAGTAGTTAGGATATCAGGATATCATATACAGATCTCATTCATGGCCCGATCCTTACGAAATTTTGCATGGGTATAAGATGAGGGTCAGGATAGAAGCCTACTCTTTTTGGAGATGATCGCCATATATTTAGGGGTTGAAATGGACCAAAAAACTGCAAAATTGTCAGCAGGTCGTAATTATGGGGGTTACCGGACATTGCAAAAGCCAAGCAGTTTCGGATGGCCATCCAAAAATATTCAATGTGTGAAATAGTTTGCCAACTTTTGTAGACAAAATACTAAAATGTCCATTCCAGTGACTCTTTGGAGAATTCACAAATACAGGAAATACGCACTTCTGACTATTTCGTTAACGCTGATTTCGTGGAAGAATATAGTCAAATGTCTGTATCTCATATAGATGCGTTTCAGTCAAAAGCCAATAATAAATGTTAATCTTTTGCCACTTCTGAGAGATTATAGGTCTTTGGGAAATATTGGTTCCAGATCTGGGAAAACCATTTACGTGCAACATCTACCAATAAATTGGAAATGATCAAATTAGTTTAAGTTGCTATTATTCGAAAATTAGAGAACGAAACCTGATGGGTTTCTTTTATTATTTGTCACAATGTCTTGTGGAATTCTTTCGAGTATCTCGCCTATATTAACTGTATCGTTTATTATAGTGTTGTAGGGTATTCAACGGTCGGCCCCGCTCGACTGTAGCCTTTGCTTACTTGTTTCCTATGGTATTGTCTGAAAATCCACACAAGGAGTTCTTTGTGAGCACTTTAACCCCTGAAAGGTAATTGTCTATATAGCTCCACAATATCGTTTATCCCCCCATATATCGGCACCTTCCGATTTTAGATATTTTAAAGATTTCAACAGAATTTTTAATGGATTTTGTTGTTTGAAAATTTTCTAATTCGTTCCAAAAGGAGGAGGTTATTCAAAGTTCGGCCCGACCGAACTTACAGCTTTTTTACGTGTCATACTACATTTAATATAGATAAAAATATTGGTATGGACAAAATTTCAAGAAAATCGAACAAGAAAATCCAATTTTATGCAAAATAATAAATTTCATATTCATCTCAGGTTTTTGCTTGAGAGAAATATTTAGTTATAGCAAGTTGTAAAAAATCGCTGACTAGTTTCGCAAGTTACGACAGATAAAAGTATTGAAAATTGTGACCCTTGTGGGTAAGGCGCCAGAAGGGGTTCATAGATATATATGATCATCTGCACAACAGATCTTATGTTAGCAAAAAATTTTGTGTGTCTGAAATGTTAAGAGATTTGGATACTTATTTAGCTTTTGTTTTCTTCTTTTAGTGATTTGTTTTTTTAAAATCTTGAACCCTATGTGAGAAAGTTGCCAAAAGAAATGGTCCGAACTCTACCATTTTTTTTAACAGATCTTGTGATGATGGAAATATTGAGATTTACCAAGTCTGAATGGAATCTGATGTTATTTTTGCATTTTATAAGCTTTATAGACATTCAAAATGTTGACCCTTTATGGAGGAGGTACCAAAAGGAGTGGGCCGACCTTGGGATAAAAAAAAAAATATTGTGATCTGTATAATTTGTAGACAATCGGGCTCTTACATCACATTTTGTAAGAGTTATAATTATTCAAAATTTTGAACCTTTGTGGAGGAAGTACTTGATTGAGTGGTCCGATATTGTCAATTTACGCATCTGTCCAGCACTGACGCAAATAATGCGATTTGCAAAGTTGGAATCGGATCAGATTATTTTTTTATCTCTATCTTAGTTTGATAATATATTGCGATGTACTAAATTTGGACCAAATCGAATACTCCCTTCGACAGTTATCGTGCGCACCAACCAGACAGGCAGACAGACTGTGTGTCTATCCGTCTCTCTGTTGTCATCACGCTATCTTTCGAACAAATTGAGATAGAAGGCTAACATTTCGCACACATGTGTATTTTGGTAGGCAGGTTAAGTTCGTAAATGGGCCTTGTCGGTCCACGTTTTCGTATAGTCCCTATATTCGGTATTTTAATGATTTTAGCGAAATCATAGACCGGATTTTTTTTTCAATTTTCGTATTGGAAGATCTTAATGGATATTTCAACCTATAACAGAAAATTGTCTATGCATGTTCTAAATTTCGTTTTTAAAGGTCCTAAGGATTACTACAATATATGACAACAAATTACTTATGCATGCCCCACGTTTTCGTATAGTCCCTATGTAACGCTATCTCCCAATATTCGACATTTTTATGATCTTAGCGACCTTATTCACCAGAAATGCTTGCAATTTCGTATTTAAAGTTCGTAAGTGTAATACAACCTTTTTTCGGTGACATTAGGGATATTCGGTGATATTAGTGACATTATTTATTTGAAGGTCCTTATGGGTACTACAGCCTGTGGGTCGGAAAATCGTGGGCTTTTTAAGAATATTTCATAAATGGCCTCCTGATTGAAAATCGTAGATATATTTTAAGGAAATTATTTTCAGTGTCTTATGTTAGTAAAAAAAAAAATATTTTATGTTTTTTTTTTTTCTGAAAATCCAGGTTTTTTCAAGAAATTGGTTTTAACGACCTCCAGTTTTTTTTTCCATTACCTACTGACTACATATAATGAATTTAAAAAAAAAAATGCGAAATATTGCGAATTTTTTTCACTAAAATGTTCGAATAACCTTTTCAAAAATCGTACTTTTCTTATAGTAAATTCAATAAATGTCCTCCTAAAGTTTGTAAAGGGTACTTTAACCTATGACAGATTTTAGTTTTTTTAATGATATTAACGACATTATTCAACTGATTTGTTTTAATTTCGCATTTAAAGGTCCTAATAAGTACTATAGCCAATGATAAAAAATTGCGATCTACGTATATCTCCTATATAATGGTTTCATTCAAACAGTACTTTTCGACAGATTTTTTTTTAAATTTTCAAGTTCCCCCCAAGCAGTGGAGGTCATTAAAAGTTCGGCCGAACAAACCTGTTTTTTTAATTGTTAAAACTATGACTTCGTCATCTTCGGACCTTTGATGAAAATTTTTAGACCTCTGGCTACAGAATACATACAGGTAATAATATTTCATAAATTCCTTCTGTCACCTGTCTTAAGTGTCTTTTGTATATGGAATACTTCTAGTTATAGAAGACCTGTCCAAAAGCCGTGATTTTTTTTTACTTGCCGAAAAATCTAGGAATTATTTCGCCATTTTTTGAAAGAAAATCCTTTTAATAATTTTATGACAAAAATCGTGAATTAAAGAAAAATCAGTGACATTTACTAAAAAATCTTCTCTTAAAAGGCAGTTTTTAGAAAAATTTCTTCTGTAAACACCACTTACGATAGCCTGTCTGTGGAAGATTTGTAAAAAAAAAACATTTGATGTGATTTCTGTTGACGGCATTCTAGAGAAGACCTCTGCAATGACTTCTTGTTTGAAATCGTTAAATTTTTAAGAAAAAAATTCAATGTCCTCCTTATCGAATAGTGTGCATATTTTAAGCAAAGTTATTGAACTGCTTTATAACATTTCTAACAAACATATTCTCTAAATTCGTTAAATAATCCTCTGTATTTAAAGTTCGTAATGGGTACTACAGCCTTTGACGAAAAATTGCGTATGCCGGTCCACAGCTTCGTATAGCCCCTATATATCGATACCTCCTGATATTCGGTATTTTTATGATTTAAGAGCATTATTCCACAGAATTGTTTCAAATTTCCTGTTTGAACCTCGTAATGGGTACTACAACCTATGACGGAAAATTGTCTATGTAGGTCCACCTCTTCATATAACGGCACCTTCCTTTATTTTGTATTTTGATGATATTAGCGGAATTATCCACCGGAATAATGTCCAGTCTGATGATATTAGAGACATTTTTTACAGGAATTGTTTCAAATTTAGTATTTACAGTTCGTAATGGGCATTACAGCCTATGACAAAAAATTATTTATGCAGGATCACGTCTTCGTTTAGCCCGCACATAACGGTTTTCCTGTGAGCAGTATTTTTTGAAGGATTTTTTGGAATTTTTTTAAGTTCCTTCAAAATGGTGACCTGTCCGAACTTAGATGCTTTCTTACTTTTATAATTGAAATATGGGTTTTGGTTCGGTTCAAGTTTTTTGACAATTTTTTGGTTCATGGTTCAATTAAGAATTTTCTTTTTCTTCTTATGTAACATTGTTCAAGATTGATTACAAAATATTTATAATCTCTTTTTTACTTTCCGTAAATGGAGCCTTCTATAAATTCCTTATTTTTCCTAAAATTGTGAGGTGTATATTTTCAATAAAAAAAAAACATTTTTATTTTTTGCTATTGACATTAAAATGTTAATTACTGTCTAGTTTTATTATTTCGCTTGGATCTTCAGCTCCGCCCAAGGGCTTATAGAACTTCTGCAAATAAAATCCATTTTAATGACGAGTCTACTTTTCTGGCGCCCAATACTTACTTCGTCTTGTCTCATTCCAACCAGTTTTAATGTGATTGTTATTGTTGAAGTTTTTAAGCCAAGCTATAACGGGTTTGTAGTATTCCAATAGGGCAGCAGAACTTAAGGGAGATTTCTGTTTCGAAATTACAGATATGACGTCGTGCCAAGGTTTAGTGGATCCCATAGACATCATCGATCTAGAAGAAAATAATTGTAATTTTTTAGACGTGAAGGTTTCATAAATCGAAATCGGAAAAAGAAACTTTGAGAAATTCGTATTAAGTCGAACATGAAATAATATAAAATAAATTAAAAAAACATTAATATAAATTTAAGGCAAACTCTGTTAAAATTTTTCAAATTATCTGACCTAGCCTAAACGTACCTGATAACATCACCGACCGATTTGTTACCATAAAACTCACAATTGCTTAGGGGTTCCGGCTGATTTGCCCTCTGGCACAGCGCTGCATAGAATTGATAACCTAAAATTTCGGACATAAATTTTCTGCAAAAAATGTATTATTTGAAATTAATTGTTTAATTCATTTATTTATCATTATTTTTTATTTATTTATTTTATTTTATTTTTTTTTTATTTTTTTTTTTTTTTTTTTTTTTGATAATTGCAACACCCCCTTACTTGGTCTGATGGTTTGTCTCCATTTCATAGTAGAATTTATAGTGGAAATCTATGACATCTTCATCACGGTCGAGGGGTGGTTCAACTCCGACATAATCTTGCATCAACTTCCAATAGAGACGATTAGCACCCTCCATCGACAAATTGTTCTTGAGAAATTCATTCATAATTCGTATGTGAATATAATATACCGGAACATTCAAAATTGTGTGGATAGCCATGCGGAAGAGACGGTTCATTTGTGCCTTCTCAGTAAATTTGTAATCACTTGATATTCCCATAGTCTGTAGATGTTTGGGAGAACTTGCGGAGAGAATAATGGCCTCACCCACTGCATATTCCAGGCCATAGGAATCAAAGAAATATGATGGCAACGATTTCTTTTCCATGGCATAGTGCAGTCGACCCACATGACCATGCATTTGCATGAATTTCTTAAAATCTACTTTTTTGCAATAGCGCATACGAACTTTGGGTGTTAAATCGAAAATATGGCTATGACACTCGGAATCATCGCCATCACTGGCATTAATTTCATGAAGCCTCGATTTTATGAAGTCGTCTTCCAATGGAGAAAATCCTAGGGATTTATAAAACTCTTCAGCCTTATTTAGGAGATCTCGGCCATTGAAACCCTTTACAAGATCATTGTATGATGGTAAATCATTGTATGGAAAATATTCTTCAATAATACTGTTGCCCTTCCAGGCTTGAGCCAAAACTTGATGGAATAAATGTTCAGGTATGGGACCATTTACATCAGACATATCATGGCTATATTTCTTATTTAATTGCCAACGCACAAATGCATGCAGCTGCAAATAGGTTGGCTTCAACTCTTCCATAACTTTGTCCATTTCTTGCATGATATCCACATTTCTATAGTTGTTGTAATAAAAATCCATAACTGGAAGATCTGAAAAAATAAATCTTATTTATTTTCCAACAAACGCGTAGAAAGAGAGAGAGAGAGACAGAGAGCGTGCGAGTGCTGTATCCTTACCCAACAGCTTTGCTGCCGCGCCAATGGCATGCAGGACAATAACACAATTTATTTTGGCCCATATGGAATTACGTTTGCGCCACGTCTCCCAATAATATTTCAATTCCTTGCTATCGCTTGAAGTTTCAAAAATCCTTTCAATATCTGGATCGTATGCCAGGTGACTGGAATCACCTGTCATCACCATGCTCCCTGCCCCATAGGGTCTAATATCTTTATCCGTTGAAAGACTCTTAAGAGCGTTTAATGTTATCAGAGTCGATTCAAAATATTTATCTCCCAACACAAATAGTCCAGCAGTATAGCTTAGCTCATCAAGTGCTTCCCTTAACTCGGGATCTCGTATTTGAGTTATATTAAATTCTCTCGCTTCTTTGGAAATTTCCACCAATTCTTGGGCAATTGCTTTCGCCGTTGTTACTCTGTTGAATATTGTGACGTAATCTTCATTTTCTGTCGAGGCATACGTTTCGGCCGATATTTTGTCGTAGAGATTGAAATAACGAGCACTGGCTTGAGTTACAAATAGCTTGGCTTTCTGTTCATAATTGGACGCCGCCAGGCATAACTATTGGAAACCAAATATGGGGGATGAAATAATTCTAATTTAAAAAGTAAATTTTATAATTAAAGCTTTGATATGTTAAAAGGAATCCCTTTCCATGATATTGGTCAATTCTTACCGTAATTGTCTTCTGCTAGCCGAAAATTGTCCATATATTATTACCTCATCTCTCTATAACGGTACAGATATTTGTGTGGGATTGATAAACAATCTATCTATTCTATTGGGGTATATATTTTAAATTTTCCATTTTAAATCTTAACAAGTAGAAGAAGCTGTAAGTTCGGCCGGGCCGAACTTTGAATACCCTCCACCATTAGGAACAAATTTGGCAAGTCTCAAAAAATCCGTTAAAAATTCTGTTAAAATTTTAAAAAACCGAATGTAGCTGTTACATTAGGGTCTATACGACGACATCCACCTGCATAGGTAACTTTTGTCTTAAGCCATTACAATATTCAAATGCGAAACTCATCAAAATACCGAATATCGGAAGGTTGACCTGCACAGACAATTTTCTGTCATAGGCTGCAGTACTCATTTCGAACTTTGAAACAAGTCCGGTAATACTAAATATCGGGAGGTACCGTTTTATGGGGGCTATGCGAAGACAGACAATTTTCTGTCTTAGACTGTAGTAATCATTTCGAACTTCAAATACCAAATTTGAAACAATTCCGATGAATATTGTCGCCAAAATCATCAAAATTCCGAATATCGGGAGGTACCGTTATATGGGGGCTATACGAAAATCGGTACCAATACATTTAATTTTCAATGCTAACCATCTTAGACACAATACAAACTATTGTGCCAAATTTTTAAGTTCCGCGTCAAATAATGTGGATTGTATTGTGATTTCTACAGATAGACAGATTGACATCGTTAAATCTGCTTATAATTTTATGCTGCTCATGATTATACAGGATGAGATAAAAAAAAAACTGCAACAAACTCAAAGACAATATTTTTTACATTTTTTTTCTTATATTTCATTGAATGAAAGCAAAAAATGTCGGAAATAGAATCAAATTTTAGAATAAGTTTAGATTTGTTCGAGTTGGTCACCTTCGGCACGAATTATGGCCTTTCAACGGCAAATGAAACCATCACACACTGCCCAAATGTTGCTCTGCGGTATTTTGGCTCATTCCCGGAGAAGGGTTTGCTTGAGGTGATCGACACTTTGGTATTTTTTAGTACCAACCTTGCTTTCCAAAATACTCCGGACACAATAGTCCAATGGATTGGTATCCGGAAATTTTGATGGCCATTTTGCGCTAAAAATGAAGCGACTAACCTCATTTTGTAACCATTCTTGGGTGGCGCGTGCTAAATGCGATGGTGTTGAGTCTTGATTGCGTGCCCAAGTCTTTAATAGATCCTCCAGAATATTTTCACGATAATATTCGCCATTTATTCTGGTGCGACGGTCGATATGAGTTTAGATCTGTTCGAATTGGTCACCTTCGGCATGAATTATGGCCTTCAAACGGCCAATGAAACCGTCACACTCTGGCCGAATGTTGCTCTGTGGTATTTTGGCTCATTCACGGCGAAGCGCTTGCTTGAGGTGATCGACACTTTGGTATTTTTTAGTGCCAACTTTGCTTTCCAAAATACTCCAGACACAATAGTCCAATGGATTGGTATCCGGAAATTTTGGTGGCCATTGTGCGCTAAAAATGAAAGGAAAGAACCTCATTTTGTAATCATTCTTGGGTGGCGCGTGCTGAGTGCGATGGTGTTGAGTCTTGGTGGAATGTCCAATATCTGCGGCCAAAATGTTTGCGTGCCCAAGGCTTTAATAGATCCTCCAGAATATTTTCGCGATAATATTCGTCTTTTTCTGATGCGACGGTAGATTAATACGAGCGGAGAGCGACCACCTGCTGTAATGGCGGCCCACACCATCACCATGGTAGGCGATTGAGTTCTTGTGGCCAACCGAGGCTGACCTCTGGCAAGTTAACACGATCATTTTGTTTGTTTACAAACTGCTGGACAACGAATGTTTTCTCATCAGAGAAAACCAAATTCGGCAGTTCACCTTTTTCGGCCAAGCAAAGCAACCCTTTAGCTCTTTGAGTCGTTTTTCTTTCTGTTGCGGTGTAAGTTTTTGCACTTTTTACAATTTCAATGGCTTTACCCCGAGCTCATTTTTCAAAATTGCCGAATGGAATATTGCGATACGTTCAGCTAACGAGCCATTTTTCGGCTACTGCGACACGGGTTTCGATCAAGTCGCTTCTGTACTTTCACTTCCTTGATGTCGGGCTATGCTACCAGTTTCACGGTAACGAGCGATGATACGAAACACAAAACATTTATTCACATTTAAATGCTGAAGTGCTCTAACGATAGCCACATGTGGTTTTCCAGCCAAATATAAGGAAGTCACATTATCACGGTTGAATTTCATCACGAATAACTTTTTTTCTTGAAAATTCTTACCAAAATGCTTTTGCAAACTTGTAAACAATATAATGAACTGTCACTGGAACAATTTTAAAAGTTGTCGGATGAGTGGCTGTGAGATTACAGCAGTCTGAAATTGGTTGCAGTTTTTTCATCTTATCCTGTATATAGATTTGTCCACGTCCTTCTGACTTTCGAAATTGTGAAGGTTTGCGCCCCAATTTAAACCGAACCACCTTTTATTTGGTTCTACGGTTCCTCGGAAGATACTTGAGCTTTTAATTGAAAAACATGAAATTCTAGGACCTGGTGTTCTTATAGCTCGAATATAATATTACCTCCTGATTTTCGATATTTTGAAGATTTTGTCCCCCATTCCTAACCACTTCAGGAGGAATTTGATATTCTGGATTCTTATGTCCAGCAAATTTCTAAACTTCTTTCAAAAATATTTAATACAACATTTTAGGTATTTATAGGAAAGGCATATTTTTAAAATGTTTACTCAACCAAATTTAACGGGGCTTTAACATGTTATTTAGTTATTTTTTTTTTAGTTTTAGATCAAATAATAGCGTCTCAATTAAGTTTCACAATTTTATATTACAACCAACCTGCACGGCGAAAACGATCGACAACACTAGGAAAAATTTCATTTTATAAAGAAAAAACAACTCCTCAATCACCAAAAGTGTCACTGTTCTGAATGTGGTAAATACACTAAATGCTGAGAACACAAAGAAAAAAGTTACAGCCTAGTAATCTTTAACAGCTGACAATGAAATCTTATCATTTTATGATTAAAAAAAAATAATAATAAAACATTGCTATTTCCATTCATGGCTTTTATTTAATAATTTATGAAGTGCACTGAATAAGGTTAAATTATTGATTAAATATTAATTTTCGAAAACATATTTTCAGAATCACAATCACATTCGGTTTGTTGCACATGGTCGTCGTCGTTGTCATCATCATCGCTGCCGCCTGGAGAAAACTTATTGTCTCATTACAACTCTGTTGGCATCATGACGAATCGATACATCAACAATGCTCATGTTGGGTGTCAGGAATTGGACCAAACGATCAACACCTTGACGAGGCAAACGATCGAAGGGATAACCCATGGCGCGACGATCGGGATAGAGACGATCACGGACACCACAGTATGAGGCGGCATCACTGCAGGCACCGACCAGGGTTTGATCAACCTAAAACGATATATGAATTTAGTCATACGTCACTATTTCCCCAGGATCTTTATTCCAGTACTCACCCGATCATCTTCATAATTGGAGACCATGACAAACAGTTCACAACGCATGCCACCGGGCAAACCCTTTGGTATCAACATATGTTGAGGCCAGCCACAGCCGCAGAAATTGAATTCCAATTCTTCGGGGCTACCTTGGGCTGGGCGATTAACCTCCAAGTTGCGGAAGGTACGTTCAAATGGAATGGTAACACTGGAATCTGTTGAACGGCGGCGAATTGTGTTTTGGCCAGGATTCACTGTAACAAAACATATTAATTATTATTCCGACACTATAGTTGTTTCAAAAGTGGTTACTTACATTGCACAACAAACTTATCCAACTCCACCATCATCAGACGTTGATCGCGGAACAACCATGGCTGACCACGTTCATCGGTCTTGGGGGCTATGAAGATGCGTACGGTGCCAAAACGTTGGGCGCCACTGTCATTGTTGACATTAATGGTATAGGTGAAGGGTGTGTGTTGCAAATGAGTGAAACGGGCAAAGACATTACCGCGTGGCACGAAGTCCATGCCACGGGACAAATCAACATCCGATTGTTGCCAGAATGTGCTCAAAACATTGGGTTGACCACCCTCAGAGCTAACCTGGAGTCCAGATATGGATATACCATCATATTGCAATTGAGGCAAGGTGTAGGGTGTCAGACGGGTCTTGTGTTCTTGGAAAATATCATCAATATAGGCATGCCATCTGTAGAAGACAGGATCACGCATGGCAGTGGCTGAATCACCCATTACGCCGAATGACTCCAGATGGCGATGATCAGGATCGTGGGCATAGGAAATGAAGACATGACCCATGTTATGGAAATCACCATACACCGATTGATTGGGTGAAATGATGGAAGCTTCCAACATATTACCCAGAATATCAATACCACGACGTTCATCCAAAGGAATACGATTGCCGCTGGCATCGACCACAAATCCTTGATGGATGGCCTCGAAAATACGATCACGCCATCTTTCCAAGTCTGAAATGTCCAAATTGATTTGATCCAATTCACGATTCAAATCTTTGATGGAAGTATTATCGAAACGTGGTGGCCAAGCACGGCTGGCAACCAGTGAATCCATCTTGGGGAAATAACCTTCAGCAATGGGTTCACGGAAGTTGTTGAATCTAGTGACACGGGCCAAATTGTTGCTGAAACGTTCCATGTTGTAGCGGGCAATGACCTGTTGATGCATGTAATAGAAAAGTTCACCGCGACGATCCTTCTCGACAATACGGCGATCCCCAGCCTCGAAAGGATAAACCAAATGCCAATGCCAGTGATGAAGATTGATGCCCATATCCTCACGGAAATACCACAGACGATGTTCGGGATCCAAATCGGAAGCGGTATAGTCACGAGGAACTACAATTGGCATGCGAGATCCATCGGGCACGACTGTGGCTTCCTCTCTCACCTGACGGAAGACCTGGGAATCCACAAACTTATCGGGGAAATTCTGGGCAAACGAGGGCAAATCCAAACCCTTGGTATCTTCGCGATGCAACAAAGCCACCGAGAGGGCATAATTGAACAAATAGGGATTGACACGATCACGGGCATACACAGCAACACTGAGCAAATCATCAACGGTGCGCATGCCAACGAAAATGTCAATCAAGCGACCCGCAATGCGACGATGGCGTGGCACGAACAATGAGAATTGTTCATCACGACCCAAGGACATGGGAATACGTAAATCGGGCAGGGATATTTCTCTAACCGGTACACGTTGTTCAGCCTTTTCGCCGAAACGACTTTGGATTTCATTGCCCAAACGTTCGTAACGTTTTGTCAAGTACTTGTCGGGAACATCGAAGACCGTCGATGTTTTGCCCTTTTCCATGAAGACCGGTTCGGTGGGGCGGTCGAACAGCAACAGGAGATTCTTTTTGTCAGTCATGATTGTTTTTGATGGTTTCTTTTAGTTAGAAGATCAAAAAATTAACAAAACTTTTAAAACTCCAATGAATTTAGTAAATAATTTCCGAAATAGCGAACTGTTTTGCTGTTCTTCAGTGCAGGCACTGCTGACTTTTGGAACCAAGTGGCGGGTTTTTATACAAAAAATTGGGTGGATTATCTTTTTAATTTTGTATCCGCAACTACTAAATTTACGGAAACCTAAAATCTCGTGGTCAACTACCAAAAATTTTCACATTGCGGTCACACACGCATATCACCCAAATTTGTGCATTAGAATATTCGATAACATTTGGACAGAGGGAGTTTTAGTGATAATAACATTAAACAAATACAAATTTAATAACAGTTTCTAATGTGTGCAAGTTTTCGATGTGGATTGTATTGGTAGGAAATATCTTGATTCCATTTGGAAAAGCTACAGCAGCAGTGTAGGTTTTACTGAACATACCCCCATTTAAATATAGTTCCAATAGTTCTCCCGCCAGGCCAATTTCTCTTAGTTCATCATCAACAAATAAGTATTTGTATTAATACGCTTTATAGATAATCTTGGACAACTTTCATGTTAAAAAAAAAACTATTAAATGAATGGTTAAATATACATATACAAAACCAGTAAAGAAAGTCCTAAAGTCGGGTGGGGCCGACTTTTTGATACCCTACACCACTTTGCTAATTTAGTAGAGCTCCACATAACAATTAAAAGTTTTTATGGGAAAATTCAATCATACACGCTATGATTATAATCATAATTTAAAGTTGAATGGACTAAATATGCCGAAACATTTGTATCTTTTAATTCGGACTTGTATTGCCCATTTGGTGTACAATTAATTTGAAATCATATAAAGATATATATAGGAGCTATATCCGACCGATCTCGATAAAATTTGGCAAAGATATTTCTGAGCTGCATTTGATATATTTCTCTGAATATCGTTGTTACGGAGTGCATATTACGGCTGTGGGTAACAAATACTACAAATCGGATGAACAATATATATATATGGGAGCTATAGCTATATCGGAACCGATCTTCACCAAATTTGACATTCTAGCTTCTAGACAATGTCAAATTCCATACAATTTAGGCAAATATTAGACGTTTGGTGTACAATAAAAGTAAATCGGACGAAGTTACATATGGGAGCTATATCTAAATCTGAATTGATCTCGATAAACAATTGATTTGTTCAAAATTTCATCTCAAACGGATAATAAATGCGACCTGCATTTTGTTCACAAGTATACATGGACAAACGGACGCACGGAAGGAAAGACGGACTGATATGCATAAATCAACTCAGAAAGTGATTCTATGGAGATCCTCAAAAGTAACTATGGGTCTATCTCGTTTCCTTCTCCATTTTACAATTTGCACAAAGACATAATACCCTGACCACCTTGTGGTGTAGGGTATAAAAAGCAGCTTCTCCTCACCATTTGGAAGGAAATTAAAAAATTTCAAAAAAATTCCGGAAACTACCAGTTAAATAAAAACTGTTATATGGAGACTATACGATGACGTGGACCAGCCTACGAAATTTCTGATATAGTATCCATTTTAGCTGTAGTACCCATTACGAACTTTAAATACTAAATGTGAAACAATTCCGGTGAATAATGTTGCTGAAATCATCAAAATACCGAATATCGGGAGCTACCATTATATGGGAGCTATATGAAGACGTGGACTTGCACAGACAATTTTCTGTCATATGCTCTAGTACCAAATACGAACTTCAAATACAAAATTTGAAATAATTCCGGTTAATAATGTCGCTGAAATCATGCAAATACCGATTATCGGGTGTTACCGTTGGGGGCTATACGAAGACGTGGACCTGGATACACAAAATTTTGTCATAGGCTGTAGTACCCATTACGATCTTTAAATATGAAATTGAAATACTGTCGCTAAAATCATGAAAATACCGAATATCGGGAGTTACCGTTATATGGCGGCTATACCAAAACATGGACTGACATGGCCCTTTTACGAACTTAACCTGCTTACTGAAAAATTATGCATGTAAGAAAAACTTTAGCCTTCTATCTATATTCGTTCGAAAGATAGCGTGATTAAAAGAGACATACAGACGGACCAACAGACAGATAGACGGACATCGCTAAATCGTCTTAGAATTTTACGCTGATCCAGAATATATATATACTTTGTAGGGTCTATTATAAACATTTCGAGGAGTTACAAACGGGATGCCAAAGTTATAAAAAAATCGCATGCGATATAAAATATGAAAACAAGTAAAAAAGCTGTAAGTTCGGACGGGCCAAATAAGATCCGTTAAAAAGTCTTTTAAAATCTTAAAAATACCTCAAATGCAAAACTTGAATAAAAAAATTCGGTGAAAATCGTAGCTAAAATCATCAAAATATATTTGGGCTCTTCGTATAGCCCCAATATATTTTGATGATATACACAGACAATTTTCTGTCATATGTTGTAGAACTTTAAACTCCAAATACGAACTTCAAACTCCAAATTTGAAAAAATTTCGGTGAGTATTGTCGCTAAAATCATCAAAGTACCGAATATCGAGAGGTACCCTTATATGGGGGCTATATGAAGACATGGACCTGCACAGACAATTTTCTGTCATAGGCTGCAGTACGAACTTCAAATACCAAATTTATATTAACATCATTATTGGCATCTTTTTATGCGATTTTTTAGATTTTATCCTTTTATGCCAAGAGGGCATTCTGAATTGACAAAATTTGTCAAAATCGGACCAGCCATCCTTGAGATATAAGCATTCTAGCTTACATCCCTTTCCTTTGTACATACACATTGTACATATATATTTCGCTATGTAACTGTCAGAATTGACCTTTTCGTATATTTGTGATTTCGCCGGGATTAAAAATATTCTCGGTTTAATGGAAAATTCGACTTTTATTTAACACAAATGTTATGGTCTATTTCATCCAATAAATATTACCCGATGACCATCCAAATTGGAAGGCTTCTGTCCAGCCCTAAGCTCATGCTTACCTCCGCGTCGATTAGCCTATAATTACGACCTCTAGAGCAACTGCAAAATAAAGAATATATTTCGTAAAGGTATTTCTGAGCTGTATTTAAATTGTTTTCCCAAATATCGTCGTTACGGAGTTCATATTACGGCTGTAAGGAAAAATAAAATAAATCGGCTGAACAATATATGTAAGCTATGGCTTTATGTGATCCGGTTTTCACCAAATTTTACAAACTTGTTTTTATACCCTCCACCTTGGAAAGGAGGGTATATAAACTTTGTCATTCCGTTTGTAACATCCTTAAATATTCGTCGTAGACCTCATAAAGTATATATATTCATAATCAGCATAAAATTCTAAGTCGATTTAACGATGTCCGTTTGTCTGTCTGTCCGTCTGTCTGTCTGTTGAAATCACGATACAGCCCACATTATTTGACGTAGAGTGCCAAAATTTAGCAGAGCAATTGCCATTGTGTCTAGGATGGTTGGTATTGAAAATGAGATATATTGGTCCACGTTCTGGTATAGTCCCCATATAACGGTACCTCCTGATATTCGTATTTTGATGATTTATGCCACATTTTTTCACGGATTTGTCTGAAAATTGGTATTTGTAGGTCATAACGGGTCCCTGTACGTGTGGCAAAACATTGCATGTATAGGTCCACGTTTTGGTATAGCCCCCATATAAAGGTACCTCCCAATATTCGGTAATTTGATGATTTTTGACACATTTTTTCACGATTTTCTCTGAAAATTTGGTAGTTGTAGATCATAATGGGTCCCTGTTCGTGTGGCGAGTCATTGTAATTATAGGTCCACGTTTTGGTATAGCCCCCATATAACGGTACCTCCCGATATTCTGCAATTTTATGATTTTTAGCACATTTTTTCACGTATTTTTCTGAAAAATGGTATTTGTAGGTCATAATGGGTTCTAGCTCCGTTGGCGAAACCTTGTATGTGTACGTCCACGATTTGGTATAGCCCCCATATAACGATACCTCCCGATATTCGGCATTTTAATGGTTTTTGCAACAATTTTTCTAATGTTTCCTTTACCCTAAGGTGGAGGGTATTAAAAGTTTGGGCCGGCTGAACTTAATGTTCTTTTACTTGTTAAGCTTAATTTGGTCGTATGTGCCAAATTCTATCCTATTTAGACTAGTATTAGGCAATTGGTGCACAATAAAAGGCAAATCGGACGAAGACGTATATGGGAGCTATATCCAAATTTTGATCGATCGGGCAATAAATCCTGTTATTTGTTTGCAAAAATACATGGACAGACGAACGGCGTTGATGGCAGAAGGATTGACAAGGGATTGTGCATCCGTGGTGGTCAGCCTTAGTAAAGTTGGGGAATGGCTTCAAGCCCGGCTTTAATTTAGAATAGTTACAAATAAAACTTATATTTTTTTACATTTTTGGGAAGCGTTGCTCTTGTGTAATGCGTACTCATATTTTTTAATATTTATATTTTCTTTCTCAAAATACTGAGTTTTTCCTTAAATTTTTGAAAAAAATACTATTTTACTACAAGAACTGAAAATAATCACATATCTTAAAAATTAAAAAATAAATAAATAAAATAGCAATAATTGAAATTTAAACATTTATTCCAGAAATGAGTCGAGGTCCAAATAAAAAGCCATACCAACCATGGTATTATAAAAAGGCAAGGTAGAGCCACTAGCTGATTACAATTTTTTTCTAAGTGTGCCCGACTTCTGGTAATTGTGTGTATGTTAAATACATGTTGTTTTGAAAATTGGAAGACGCGCAATTACGAGACACGCATTAAAGCTATTCGCTGGTTTTGCCATGGAATTGAAAGATACAACTGTTTTCATCATATTTTCCAGACATTTCATTCATTTTCCCGTTGTTTAACTGATTTTAAAAATGAGGAAAAATATTGAATAAATGATGCAAATTTGTCAGGAGGTGGGCATAGCCTCAGGGCTGTATTTCTGTATTTTTACGAAGCTGATCTACTTCCTTATTGCACCATGATACCAACTATGTTTGATTGAATATTATATATTTGTTGTATGAATAATATATATTTATTACCATTAAGTTTTATATAAGATATATAAATTTATGAAGTGCGCGTTTCGATTGCTTAACTAAACTGAGAGTTTTGAACCTTCATTACAAACTAATACATAATCCAAATCATAAATCCTTTGAAGCAATTGCCATAAAATCCATCAACGTTCATCGATCATTCATTTACTGACGTTGCACAACGCGATTAGCATCGTGGCGAATAGAAACATCCACGATACTCATATTTGGTGTTAGGAAATTCGTTAAACGATCAGCCCCCTGGCGCGGCAAACGATCGAATGGGAAACCCATGGCACGACGATCGGGATATTTACGATCGCGCACGCCACAATAAGATGAGGCATCACTGCAGCTACCAACAAGATCTTGGTCGACCTAAATTAATAATAATAATAATAATTATTTAATTAATTAAAAAAATAATTACAAAATTTCGTATTTTGTTACATACCCGATCATCTTCATAGTTGGAAATCATAACAAATAGCTGACAGCGCAGTCCATCACCCGGCAATCCCTTGGGTATTAACATATGCGCCGGCCAACCGCAACCACAAAAATTGAATTCCAATTCCTCGGAGGTGTTGGCATTGGGTCGATTTGCATCCAAATTACGGAATGTTCTCTCAAACGGTATGGTAACATTGGACTCTTCCGAACGTCGTCGTATGGTATTTTGTCCGGGATTGACTAAAATTGAAAAAAGTAGTTTGTTTCCTTATTTAGTTTGGTTGTAGTCTACTTCAATATAATATAATTTTGTCTACAAGTTTATAGCCGTATTGATATAATGATCATGGAATCATTTAATTCAAACATGTATAGTTTTCTTCTGATAGAAAATAAGTTTTCATACCGATCAAGTCGTATTGGCATTTTACGCGTATTTCAAACTTGGAACATTGTAATATTTTCACCCAAATTAGAGCGAGTATGCAGATTTCCAACATGGTCCAATTTTTCAACTACTTCAGCTAACAATTTATAATATGTTATGAAAGGGACAACTTCTTAGAATTTAAATTTTTTACATCACATTACATATCGCTAAGGCAAAAATCAACACTCTTTTAAAAATTGGGCAGTACCTGATTTATCAAACTTTGTACATCCCCATAGATAAATGGAAATTAAAAGTAGTAAATTTTTGATCAATATTTAACAGAAACATCCTGTCCAATTACGTAAAATTTTTGGCAAAAAGTTTTCCAGGATTTCTCGATGAAAATAATTTTGAAGGATTTATTGTATTAAACCGTAAAATTTTTAAAAATGTTATTCAAGAATTTCCTGACCAAAAATCGCGAATTTTTTAAAAATAGAACAGCGTGGCTTGTTTGTTCGGGATACCGTAGTATTTTGTTGTTGCAAAATGGTCAGGCTTATCCCTTTATTGTTGTTTTTATAAAAACAACGTTTGTTTATTAGTGGAGAACGATGGTAATGTTTACCAGGGGGTAAGGCAGGGAATACCTAGATTTCGGAAAGAGCCACCAACCCTCATCAGTTCCCTTGTTTTTTAAAAATATTGTTAAGGACTTTCTTGCCAAGAATTGTGTTTTTTACAGGCCAGGTTGTTTTTTTAAATATTTCTGCAGAACAAACTGGCCAGGAATCGTTTTTAAATATTTTTAAGGACTTCTAGCCAAAGAATCGAGGATATTAAAAATTAATATAATCAAATTTAATTAAATTATTTTAATTTATTTCTAAATTCATATCTGAAGGATTTGCAGTCTATAAATAACGACTTCTAATATGTATCGTTAATAATTTAATAGTATTATAAAGGACTTTCTTTTCTTCAAGGATAATGCGTTTTTTAATTCTGAATCCATATGGAATAATAATAATAATCTTCAATAATAATCTTCTCGGAATTTCCTGATCGAAAATAGTGATTTTTTAAAAATCAAAATTTTTCTCTGACTTCCATGCCAAGAGTAGAGGTTTAAAACAACATGTCGAAGAAATTTTAACGAAAAAAAATAATTTTTTAAAAATATATTTTCAGGACTTCCTTTTTCAAGAATGTCCAGTTCAGGAATCATGGATTTATATAAAACATGTTTATGGGATTTCCAAGCTAGAAGTCATGTTTTTTTTTTTTTTTTTTGTAAATTTTTTTTCAAGGACTTCCTGCGAAGAATAGTTAATTGAACAATCATAGTTTTATACAAATATTTTTTAAGCAATCCCTTATCTTTTCTATGAATTTGTTTTATAGATTTCTTAGCTAACGATCATATTTTTGAAACATGTTCCAAGAACAAGATTCGTTTTGTTCTAATATGTTTCAAGTACTTCTGCCACCAACAATCGTTGACTTTTTTATATCCTCCACCATACATAGTATGGAGGGTATATTAAGTTCGTCATTTCGTTTGTAACTCATCGAAATAATAATTTAAGACCCAACAAAGCATGTATATTCTTGATCAGCGTAAAATTCTAAGACGATTTAGCCCTGTCCGACCGTCTGTCCGTCCATCCGTGTGTCCGTCTGTTGTAATCACGCTACAGTCAAAACGAATCAAAATAGGAAGCTAAAATTTTGCACAGATCTGTCTTTTGTCTGCAGGCAGGTCAAGTTCGAAGATGGACTATATTGGTCCACGATATCGTATAGCTGCCATATAACGGTACCCCACGATATTTGGTATTTTGATGATTTTAGCCAAAATTTTCAAAAGAGTTGTCTGAAATTCTACCCAAGGCGTTATTTGTGAGCACTTTACCCCCTGAAAAAGAATTGTCTATATAGGTCCACGATATCGTATAGCCCTCATATAACGGTACCTCCCGATATTCTGTATTTTGATGATTTTAGCCACAATGAAATTGTCTGAAATTCCACACAAGGAGTTGCCTGTGGGTATTTTACCCCCTGCAAGATAATTGTCTATAGTGGTTCACGATGTCGTATAGCCCCCATATAACGGTACCCCCGATATTCGGTATTTTGATGATTTTAACCACATTTCTCAATGGAATTGTCTGAAATTCCACACAAGAAGTTCATTGTGAGTTCTTTTCAGACGTAGATTTGTCTGCCCCCAGACGTAGATTTGCCTGTATAGGTTTACAATATTGTATATGACCCCAATATATCGGCACCTTACGATATTCGGTATTTTTACGATTTTTAATTTTTAATTTTAATGGATTTAATTTTTTTGAAAATTTCCTAATTCGTTCCAAATGGCAGTGGGTATTCAAAGTTCGGCCCGGCCGAACTTACTGCTTTTTTACTTGTTAATATTTTCCTGGCCAAAAATTCGTTAAATTCTTGCACTATTTTCCCAAGGACCTACTGATCACGAAATCATAAAAATACCGAATATCGGGAGTTATCGTGGGGTCTATACGAAGACGTGGACCTGTATGTCCAATTCTCATCAAAGGCCATTATGATATTTTTATGCTAAACAAACAATAATGTCGCTAAAATCATTAAAATACCCAATATCGGGAGGTACCGTTATATGGGGAATGTCGCTATAAACAACAAAAAAATAAAGACCTTCTTTTTAAAAGTGGTTGATAGTCAAGAATATTTTAAAAATTTTCTGACCGAAATTCGTGAATTTAGTTTTATAGATTTGCTGGTAAGAAAATTATGAATTTCCTTTTAAGAATATTATTTCGAAGACTCCATGACAGAATTGTAAGGATTTTTCAAAGGATTTTCTGGAAAATAGTGTGTTTAATGTTATTGAAAAACGTTCAGGCGACATATCGACTTTTATTTTAAATACATAGTATATTTTTCAATGTTTTTATAATACTCAGATTTGTAATTTTGTAATGAATTTCCAAATATTATAGAATATTAACAATTTACATGTTGTCATATACTGTAACTAGGCGTCAGGCATGAATCTAAAGAAACCAGAGGCAACGAGAGTTATTCCTAAAAATTTTCCCGCCAATACATATCAAACTTTAAATTTTAATCGCTAGCAAAATAAATTACCACAAAAGTGGTTTCTTTGTTTATAGCCCCAAAAGCTCTATCTAACATATCACAACCACAGCCAACGCATATAAACATTGGATTCTAGAAATTGTTAGGATAGGTTGAAAACCGTGACATGGCAACAATATAACATGATTACAATCTTTAAATGTACTAATGTGATATGTTTTATGTGCACTTGTTATTTACAATTGATGTTGGTATTTTGTTGTAAAACCAGCAATCATATCCTTTGATAGCGTTTGAAGATATGAAATTTTTTAATCTGTTATGATATTAACATACATGATGCCACAAATTTGTCCAGTTCCACCATCATCAGACGTTGTTCGTTAAACAACATTTGCTGGCCACGTTCATCAGTTTTGGGACCCAAAAATATACGCACCGTACCGAAACGTTGGGCGCCACTTGCATTCTTCACATTCAGTGTGTATGTAAACGGTGTGTGCTGTAGATGTGTAAACCTGGCAAAGACATTACCTCTTGGTACAAAATCCATACCACGTGATAGATCCAAATCGGTTTGTTGCCAAAATGTTGACAAAACGTTCGGTTGTCCACCATCACTTGCAACCTGTAAACCTTCGATGGTTATGCCATCGTATTGTAATTGTGGCAATGTGTAGGGTGGTAATTTACGTTTGTGCTCCTGAAAGATATCATCAATATTGGAATGCCATCTATAAAAGGCTGGATCACGCATTGCTGTTGCCGAATCACCCATGACGCCGAATGACTCTAAGTGTCTATGATCCGGATCATGGGCATAGGATATCAGAACATGGCCCATGTTATGCAAATCTCCATAGAGATTACGATTTGGTGATATTATCGATGATTCAAGCATATTTCCAAGAATATTTATGCCATCCTGTTCGGTAAGGCGTTGTTGGTTGCCACTTTCCTGGAAAAAAAGGTTTAATATATTTAATGGTAGAGTATAGGAAGACTTTTACTTTTTATAACCACAACCTATATATAGGTTGATATGGCCAAAATTTGCTTGATCGAAATAAGGATATTGTTCTTCTGTCCTGTTTGAAGTACGTTTCAGGATATTTGAAGTTGATCTAGCAATATTCGTGTGTCAGTCTTCTTTGTCAAAGTGTCATTTAACTCATAAAGGGATTATACTATTTGGTCCAAAAAATGCAAATCACAATATTTTTGTCAACATTTGGTTGAATTTGAGAGGGTCCACTCTCATCCCCCCCTATACCCCATAAGTCGTAAACATGACGAAAATCGTAAAAATTATATATCTCATAAGGAGTATCCAATTTGGTTCATATTTGGGAGTTGATAATATTTTCAGCAGGTTTCGTTTAGGTAAGATAATAATCGACAGTCCCTTCTGGTACCTTCTCATGAAAGGGTCAACATTTTTGAATTCTCTTTTTTTTTCTTATAAATTACGAAAAGATCCCCCCATATCACACTACATATTTATTTATATTAAAACCAAACATGGAGCGAAGATGGGCCATATAGGTCCTTTCCTTTTGATTACTCCTCACAAATTGACAAAATTGAAAAAAAAAAAAACCTATCATAAAAATCATAGGGAGTATGTGGTCTAGAACATCGTTATTTTTATATCAGGTTTGATTCAAGTGCGAAAATCGGCAACGTATTAAAAATCGGTCAACATTTATATCTTCGTCCGATTTGTCCAAAAACTCAAATAAGATGAAATTTGGCACATGCCACCAAACAGAGCCTAGAAGTAAGAATATTAAATATAGTGTAAATCGCCTCAGATATAACTAAAGTATTGTTCGTCCGATTTGTTATTTTTGCCCTTCACAGCCCTAATATAAACTCCATAACAACGATATTCGGAAAAAGATACAGCTCAAAAACAGCCAAATTTTATCAATATAGGTTCAGATTTAGTTATATCTTCAAAATATGTCTTTAACCGGTTTTAAGTTTATTGTGTACAAAATATCAACCCAAATTAAATTAATTATTGCGTAAGTGACTATATTCAAAATGTTTGTCAAATTTGAAAATCTGTTTAGATATAACTATTATCTGATTTTGTATTTAAGTAAAATGCCCAATAAAACAATGATATTTGGAACCAGCTATCAGAGACACCATAGAAATACCCCTGCTAAATTTTATAGAGATCGGTTCAGATTTCGATATTTCCAAATAGGATAGATTTTGGGAAAAAATCGATTAATATATATATATATATATATATATATATATATATATATATATATATATATATATATATATATATATATATCCGTCGGTTTGTTGTAATCACGCTACACTTCGAACGAATTCAGAAAGCAGGCTAAAAGTTTGAACACATGTGTAGGCAGGTTAAGTTTGTAAATGGGCCACGTCGGTCCTCGTTTTCGTATATCTCACATATTACGGTACCTCCCGATATTCAGTATTTGAAGTTTGGTATAAGTAGTACAGCCTATGACAAAAAAAGTGCTTATGCAGGCATTCGTATTCGTATAGCTCCATATGACCTCACCTCCCTTTATTGGGTACTTTGATGGTATTAGCGACATTATTCACCGGAATTGTATAAAAATTTCATATTTGAAGTTCAAAATCGGTACTACAGCCTACTTATACTGATCTCCTTCTTCGTTATCCGCCATATAACGGTTTTTATTTGGGCGGTATGTATGTAAGTATGCAATGAAAATACTAAAGACAAATATGGAAAAAGTCACTTTACATATGACTTTCACATCATGTGTCGACTAGTCTTAAGAGTACATAACATCAGACCAAACGATTGATACCTTCCAATTCCTTCATATTATACCCTGACACAACCTCTTCTTAAGAAAATAGTAAAAAAATCAACTTACATCCACAGCAAATCCCTTGTGAATCGCTTCCATAATTTGATTACGCCACCGCTCCAAATCATTTATATCAACATTAATCTGATCACTTTCACGATTCAAATCACTCAGCTTGATATTATTAAAACGGGGTGGCCATGATCTACTTGCCACCAGAGAATCCATTTTTGGGAAATATCCCTCAGAAATGGGTTCACGGAAATTATTAAATCTCGCAACACGTGGCAAATTATTACTAAATCGTTCCATGTTATAGCGGGCCATAATCTGTTCATGCATATAATAGAATAGTTCACCACGACGATCCTTGTCTACAATCGTACGATCACCGGCCTCAAACGGATACACCAAATGCCAGTGCCAATGATGTAAATTAATACCCATATCTTCACGGAAATACCATAGGCGATGCTCCGGATCCAGATCGGAGGCAGTATAATCCCGAGGCACAACAATGGGCATGCGTGATCCCTCCGGCACTACACTAGCCTCTTCCCGAGCCTGGCGAAATACCTTCGAATCCACATATTTCTCGGGAAACGATTGTGCAAATGAGGGTAAATCCAATCCCTTGGTGTCGGGACGATGTAACAGAGCCACTGACAAGGCGTAGTTAAATAAAAATGGATTAACACGATCACGAGCATACACGGCAACACTTTGCAAATCTTCAATGCTTCTCAAACCCACGAAGATATCAATTAAACGTCCGGCAATACGTCTATGACGTGGTATGAACAGAGAAAATTGTTCATCTCTAGCCAAGGACATGGGTATACGTAGATCGGGCAAGGTAATATCGCGCACCGGCACCCTTTGTTCGGCCCTTTCACCAAAACGACTTTGCACCTCGTTACCAATCGGACGATAACGATCGGTTAGAAATTTATCTGGAACATCGAATACCGTGGGTGTTTTGCCCTTTTCCATGAACACAGGTTCAGTGGGTTTGTCAAACAAAAGTAAAAGGTTTTTCTTGTCCGCCATTGATCGAGACATTTTCGCAAAAATAATATTCCGGTATAAAGTAAACTATAGATATTCCGCAATTGCACTGGTGTAATAAAATGCATTTTACATGGCTATTTATACTAAATGTTGAGCAAAATGTTTTACAAGTTTCTAGCGAAGTTTTATCATTTTCATGCGGTTGTCGGTTTTACAGGAGTGAATGCACTTTTGTAAAGGTGATAATTTTGCACACGTTTGCACATTTTTTTTAAATAAAAACTATGTTTGAACACATACATAGGTGGTTGACTACATGCGTAATTGGTGAATATACACTTTGGTATATGGTATTACATCTGTAATGCTTTGTCTGTAACAGGGTATAGAGGCTTTATGGTCCCATGGCCTCCTTTGATGCTCTATTTCGAATTACGTTCTGAGTCGAAATTTACATATCCACCCTACTACTACTTAGAATGGTGGAGAGTATAAAAAGTAAAAAAGCAAATAAGTTCTGCTCGACCGGACAATTTGGAAGAAACTAAAAAAATTGAAAAAAAGACGTGGACTTGCATAGACAATTTTACTTCATAGGTTGTATTACCCATTGCGAACTTTAAATACGAAATTTGAAAAAAATCCTATTAATAATGTCTCTAAAATCATCAAATTACCGAGTATCGGGAGGTATCGTTATATACACGATGAAGTGAATCTGGATATACAATCTTTCATAATAGGTTGAAATAGCCATTACGAATTTTAGATACGAAATTTGAAACAATTTCGGTGAATAATATCGCAAAAGCCACGAAAATGCCGAATATCGGGGGGTATCCTTACATGGGTGCTATATTAAAACGTGGATCTATGTAGACAATTCTCTTTCAGGGGTAAAGTACTTAGATGGAACTCCTTGTGTGGTTTTTAAAGACAATTTCATTGTGTGGATTTTAAGACAATGTCAATGCCGAATATCGGGGAGTACCATTATAGAGAGCCTATACGATACCCTAGACGTATATATACAATTTTCAATTAGGATGTAAGGTACAGACAAGGAACTCCTTGCGTCGATTTTCATACAGTTCCATTGAAAAATGTGGCTAAAATAACCAACATACCGAATATCGTGAGGTACAGTTATATGGTGGCTATGAGATATCGTGGACCTATATGGACAATTTTATTCCAGGGGATAAAGTACTCAAAGGAACGTCTTGTGCGGACTTTCAGATAATTCCATTGAAAAGCTTGGTTGAAATCATCAAAATACGGAATATATGGGATACCGTTATATTGGGGTTTAACGATATCTTCGACCTATATAGACAATTCTCTTATAGAGGATAAAGTACTTACAAGTACTTTCAGCCAATTCCATTGAAAAAGGGGCTAAATTTATCAGAATACCGAATATCGGGAGATACAGTCCATTTTCGAACTTGACTTGCCTGCAGACAGATCTGTGCAAAATTTTAGCACCTATCTTAATTCGTTTTGACTCTGGCGTGGTTACAGCAAACGGACGGAAGGATTATGCTGAGAAAGAATGTATGTATATACCATATTCGACGGACCCATCGATTGTTATGCGACTTGTGTCCGGTTGAGCGCCGTCTTGTTGAGACCAGAACTGCCTCATACGCTTTCGACGAATAATTGGCATCACAAATTTGGTCATCATGTCGCGATAACGCTCCTGATTGATGGTAATAGCATCAAGAAAAACGGCCCAATGACCGTTCTCGCACTAACGCCGCACCAAACTGTGACTTTTTCGTCATAAAGAGGCACTTCTTGAATCTCCACTGAAAAGTGGCGTAAAAACGGCAATTTTGTTTACTTACGGTACCATTCAATGTGAAATGGGCTTCATCGGACATGATAATTTTGTTCCAAAATTGCTCATCATCTTCGGCCAAATGTAAAATTTAAAAATCTGTTTGGACTGACGCTTCAAACGCGGTATGTAATTAAGCGATGTGACATCTCTGTCGAAAGTTATGGCGTTGCCAGATGGGTCCGTCGAATATGGGCAAGCCTGTACAGGGTGAGATGAAAAAAGTGCAACCAACTTCAGACTGCTGTCATTTCTAAGCCACTCGTCCGACAGCTGTTAAAATTATTCCAGTGACAGCTCATTAATATGTTTACAAGCCTACAAAAGTATTTTGATGAGAATTTTCCAGAAAAAAAGTTATTCGCGTTGGAATTCAAGCGCGATAATGTGATTTCTTTATATTTGGCTGGAAAGTCGTTACCGTGATACTGGAAGCGTAGCCCAACGCCAAGGAAGTGGACGGAAGAAAACAGCAACATCAGCAGAAAATGTTCGAAAAGTAAAGAAGTGACTTGATCGAAACCCGCGCGCTGTGGCTAAAAAATGGCTCGTGTGCTGAGCATATCTCAATATTCCATTCGGCAAATATTGAAAACATTAGCTCGGGGTAAAGCCATTAAAACTCCAAAAAGTGAAAGAACTTACACCGCAACAGAAAGAAAATAGACTCAAAAGAGCTGGAGAATTGCTTCGCTTGGTCGAAAGTGGTGAACTGTCGAATTTGGTCTTTTCCGATGAGAAAACATTCGTTATCCAGGAGTTTGTAAACAAACAAAATGATCGTGTTTACTTGACAAAGAGGTCAGCTAAAAATGTGCACCTTCGGTTGTCCACCAGAATTTAAGCGCCGGCCATGGTGATGGTATGGGCCGCCATAACAGCCGAAGGTCGCTCTCCGTTCGTATAAATCGACTGTATCATCAGAATAAATGCCGAATATTAACGCGAAAATAATCTGGAAGATCTATTAAAGCCTTGGGAACGCAAACAATTTGGCCGCAGACCTTGGGCATTCCAACTCAGCACGCGCCACCCAAGAATGGTTACAAAATGAGGTTTCTCGCTTCATTTTCAGCTTTGGACTATTGTGTCTGGAGTATTTTGAAAAGCAAGGTTCGCACTTAAAAATATCAAAGTGTCGACCACCTCAAGCAAGCGCTTCGCCGGGAATGCATGTGACGGTTTCGTTGGGCGTTTAAAGGCATAAATCGTTCCCAAGGTGACCAAATTTTAACTTTTTCTGAAATTTGATCCTTTTTCCGACATTTTTTGTGTTCATTCAATAAAATTAAAAAAAAAGTAAAAATATGGCGTTTGGCTTTTTTGCAGTTTTTTTTATCTCATCCTGTGTAAAGAAATCACACTATCACGCTTGAATTCTATCATGAATAATTTTTCTTCTCGAAAATTCTCACTAGAATGCTTTTGTACGCTTGTAAACAATATAATGAGCTGTCATTGGAATAATTTTAACAGCTGTCGGACGAGTGGCTTGGAAATGACAGCAGTCTGAATTTGGTTGCAGTTTTTTCATCTCACCCTGTATGTAGACAATTTTCTTTCAGGAAGTAAAATACAAGGAAATTCTTGTGCGGATTTTAAGACAATTCCATTGAAAAATGTGGCTAAAATTATCAAAATATCGAATATCTGGAGGTGCCGTTATGTGGGGGATATACTATATCGTGGACCTATATAGCCCATCTTTACCCTTGACGTGCCCACTGACAGATATGTGCATAATTTTAGAAACTATCGTTTTGGCTCTAGCGTGAATTCAACATCATAGGAAATTTCTCGTCTTAGAATTGTATGCTGAACGAGAATATATATATATACCTTTTTGGGTCTAAAATTATTATTTCGATGTGTTACAATCGGAATGACGAACTTTATATACCCTCCATACTATGTATGGTGGAGGGCTTAAACATATGAAGTTTGGTAGTGTTAATCTGCATTACATGATTAGAGCTGATTACTTGGAAGGCGTCATTTAGCTCAATACCAGTGATACAACATCAACTAGCTCTTAGAACTTTGCGTGTCACCCTAGTACTGTTTATATCCACAAGATTCCATTAAATTCTAATTATTTGACGGATAATTAAAACACAACCACCAGGAAATATATATTAAGATTTCTTTCTTTAATTGTTCATCAATTATGATTTCTTTTTTTCTTTAGTTAATTAAATTACAATAACATGCCGCTACTTATAACATACATTGATATATGATAAATATATGTATATTTCTTATGTATATAGAATGTACTCTGTTTAGTATATAATATCATGTAATAATTTGTAATATTTCTTTCATTTTTCTTTTTTCATTTTAATTTGCTTTTGCTATCATCATAAGTTTAATTAATGTTTTTTTCTTCCGTTCTTTGGTTTTGTTCTTTGTTTGTTTTTTTTTTTTTTGTATTTCTGGGGTTTAGTTGAGTGTAGTTTTTCATTGGACTCATGGCATTTGTTGTACTTAATAATAGTTTCTTTTGTCATATACATATATGTATAATTAATTTTGCTATATAGCTTATATTTATTCTTAATAATTTGTCCAAATAAATTTCTCATAAATTGTTGTGTGTATAGTTGTTTGTGTTTGTTTTTTTTTTTGTATTTTTTTTATAATTTAAAGTAGTTTTGCATGTTCTTGTTGAAAGAATTTCCCTAAATAGTATTTTCTTTTAGTTTAATATATCGGTAAGTAGTTTGGTAGTTGTTAGTTCTGCTTTTAGTTTAGCGAATGCCTAAATTATATAGAAAATTATGAGTTATAAAAAGTGCACTATATAAAAATTCGTTTGTGTTCAAAGATTACTAACCAAACATTGATTATCATTTGAAATGTTGAGCGTTTTGTTTAAGAGAGAAATGAAATAATTGTTAATATTCTACAACACATCGTTTTCTAAACTGTGATAATCAGCTAGTGACTATTCCAAACTGCACGCAGAAAAATACACGTTCGAAATATGTTCGGATCCAAGTATGTATATATTTGGGGCTGCTTGCAAACGAATATATATTTGGATGCAAACATATTATGCTTGGGTCGTATGGTCGTATCGTTTGTATCATCCTTAAATATATGTCGTAGACCTAATAAAGTATATATATTCATAATCAGCATAAAATTCTAAGTCGATTTAACGATGTCCGTCAGTCTGTCTGTCCGTCTATCTGTCTGTTGAAATCACGATACAGCCAAGGTAGATGTACTAGGTAATCACATCAGCCCA